AGGAAGGAAGGAAGGAAGGAAGGAAGGAAGGAAGGAAGGAAGGAAAGGGAAGGAAGGAGGGAAGGGAAAGGAGGGAGGGAGGGAAGACTAGCAATAGCACTTAGACTTATATACCACTTCAGAGTGCTTTACAAGCAGTTTGTAGGGGAGTTTACAGAGTCAGCCTCTTGCCCCTCCCCCAACAATCTGGGTCCTCATTTTCCTGACCTTGGAAGGAGAGAAGGCTGAATCAACCTTGAGCTGCTCAGGACTGAGCTACTGGCTGTGGACAGAGTTAGCCTGCAATGCTGCATTCTAAGCACAAGGAAGGGAGGAAAAAAGGAAGGGAGGAGGGAGGGAAGGAAAAAGGAAGGAAGAAAAATGGAAGGAAGGAAAAGATGGTAGGAAGGAAAAGACAGAAGGGAGGGAGGGAAGAAAGGAAGGAAAAAGGAAGGAAGGAAAAAGGAAGGAAAACAGAAGGATGGAAAAGATGATAGGAAGGAAAAGATAGAAGGGAGGGAGGGAAGGGAGGAAGGAAGGAAGGAAGGGAGGAAGCTAGCAATAGCGCTTATTGCCCCCAGGACAATAACACCAGAAAACCTGGTGTTGCAGGTTTTCAATTCAATGTGTGGAGTGTGAAGGATGTGTGTGTTTGTGTTTATTTTCATGGTCATGATGTGCACTGAAGATGGAGTTTGATTTCGTTGGACGAGGTGCACAGACAACCAAGTAAACTAAACTCAGTAAAAATCATGCCCAGTTGGGGGCTCCTGTCTCCCAAATAACTTAGCAGGGTCACCCCAGGAAAATTCAGGCTTGGCCAGGAATTGAAGCACTTAAAATGTAGGCTGTGATGGGTGCACCGTGGAAAGGCTAATAATTGAAGGGGGGAAAGAGAAAAGAAAAGAAAAAAAAACCCAGAAGCAAATCCAAGTGGTTCCCAGCCCCTGAAGCGAGACCCGGAATGGAATTCAGCCTCTGTCATTTCGCTCTTGTTTTCGTCCAGCAACCAAAATTATCAGCCCAGCCAGGAAGGTAGGAAGCCAAGGAAGCCCCAGGGAAGAAAACCCAAGAAACTAGAAAAGGCTCTCGGAAGCAGACAGGTAGCTAAGCAGGCAGGTGGCCTCGCAAGACAGGTAGTCCTCGACTTACGACACTCTGTTTAGTGACTGTCTGGAGTTAAAGCGGCAGGGGAAAAAAGTGATTTATTTTTCACCCTTATGACCATCGCAGCTTCCTCAAGGTGAAGTCAGTTACATTTGCATGCTTGGCAACAGACTCATCTTTACGACAGTGGCAGTGGCTTCACATTTACGACGGTGGCAGTGGCTCACATTTACGACGGTGGCAGTGTCACCTGATCCCTTTCGGTGACCTTTTGGTGAGCAAAGCCCAACCGGGGTGGGTGGGTGGGTGGGGAAATGGCCACATTCACTTAATGACCATTGTGACTTAACGGAACAGGCCGCAGGGATCCGCTTAACAACGGGGGTGAGAACGGTTGTAAAATGGGGGCAAAGCTTGCTTCAAACAAATCTCTCGCTCAGCAATGGAAATTTTGGGGCTCCCTTGCAGGTGAAAGTCGAGGACCATCCTCCAGCAGGGAATAATAACTTCAGCTGGAGGAGGAGGAGGAGGAGAGGCACCAACTTAGCCCAGAAACTGAAGCTTAGTGGGAAGAGAAAGGAAAAAGAAAGGAGGGGAAAGGGGGGGAAAAGAGGAGCGGAGGGGGAGGAGTAGAGGAAGGGGGGGAGGAAGGGGAGAGGAAGGGGGAAGAGAGGGGAAGAGAAAGGACAGGGAAAGGAAAAAAGGAAGGAGAAGGGAGGGAAGGAAGGAGAGAGAGGGAAAGGAAAGAAAGGGAAGGGGCAAGGGAGGGAAGGAAGAAGGGAAGGGGAGGAGGAAAAGGAGGAATATAAAAGAATGAAGGGGAACAGAAGGGGGGAGGAGGGAGATAAAAGGAGAAAGAGAAGGGAAGGAAGGAAGAGGGAAAGGAAAGAAAGGAAGTTAATGGATGAAGAAAGGAAAGGAATGGAAGGGAAGGGAAGGAAAAGAAGGGAAGGGAGGGGAGGAAGGAAGGAGGAAAGAGAAAGAAAGAAAAAAGAAAGAAAGAAAGAGGGAAAGGAAGTGAAGGAAGGAAAGGAATGAAGGAAAGAAAGAGGGGAAGGAGGAAAGAAAAGGAAAGAAAGAAAGAAAGAAAGAAAGAAAGAAAGAAAGAAAGAAAGAGGGGAAGGAGGAAAGAAAAGGAAAGAAAGAAAGAAAGAAAGAAAGAAAAAAAGAGGGGGATGAGAAAAGAAAAAGAAAGAAAGCGGGGGAAGGGGAAGAAAAAGAACAAAAGAAAGAGGAAAGGGAAGGAGAAAGAGGGGAATGAGAAAAGAAAAGAAAGAAAGGGGGGAAGGAAGGAAGAAAAAGAACAAAAGAAAGGAAGATGAGAAGAGAGGAGAAAGGGGAAGGAGGAAAGAAAAAGAAAGAAAGAAAGAGGGGAAGGAGGAAAGAGAAAGAAGGAAGGAAGGAAGGAAAGAAAGAGGGGAATGAGAAAAGAAAAAGAAAGAAAGAGGGGAAGGAAGAAAAAGAACGAAAGAAAGAGAAGGAAGGAAGGAGAAAGAGGGGAAGGAGGAAAGAAAAAGAAAGAAAGAGAGAGAGAGGAGACGGGAGGGAAGGGCCAGATGCCCTCGCAGAGCCCCCACGGGGGAGGCCAAAGCCCCTTCCCCAAACCCTCCCCCCCCCCCCACCGCACCCGCCCCCCCCCCCCCCCCCCCCCCCCACCCTCGCCCAGCGCCTCCCTCCCTCCCCCCGGGGCCGGAGCGGCGCTCCTTCCCCATGAGGAGGAGGAGGGTCTCCCTCGCCCCCCGCCCGCCCTTTGTCCGCCGCCGCTCACCTCCGCCGCCGTTGCCGAGGCCGCCGCCGCCGCCTCCTTCGGCCCCCGTTGCCAAGGCGACGCGCGCCGCCGCTGTCAATCACCGGGCCCCGCTCAGGCCCGCCCCCCCCGGCTGGCGTGGCAGCGTCGCTCTGCCTGCGGACTACGGCTCCCGGCCTGCAACGCGGCGAAGGGAGGGAGGGAGGGAGGGAGGAAAGGAGGCGGGGAGCTCTCCCTCTCTGGCCCCGCCTCTCTTGCTCCGCCCACACCCCGCCCCCTTAACAGCTGTCGGCAGCCATGCCCGAAGATGACGGACGTGGTGGTGCTGGAGGGGCAGCTCAAGTGGCGGGAGGGGAAGAAGGTGCCCGCGAGGGGGGAGGGGAAGGGAGGGCGGAGGGAGGGGGGTCGGGGGTCGCCCTGGGACGCTGCTAACCCCCCCATGTCTCTCTCTGTTTCCCCCCCCCTCCAGTGGAAGAGCCGGTGGCTGGTCCTGCGCAAGCCGTCTCCTGTGGCCGGTGAGTCCCTTCCAAGCAGAGAAAGAAAGAAAGAGGGGAAGAAAGAAAGAGAAAGAAAGAGGGGAAGGAAGGAAGAGGGAAAGGAAGGAGGGAGGAAAGAAAGAGGGAAGGAAGGAAGAGAAAGAAAAAAAGGGGAAGGAAGGTAGAGGGAAAGGAAGGAGGAAAGAAAGAAAGAGGGATTGAAGGAAGGAAGAGGGTGAAGAAAGGAAGGAGGAAAGAAAGAAAGGGGAAAGAAGGAAGAAAGAGAGGCAAGGAAGGAAGGAAGAAAGAAAAAAGAAAGTGGAAGGAAGGAAGAAGGGAAGGAAGGAGGAAAGAGGGGAAGGAAGGAGGGAAGAAAGAAAGAGGAAGGAATAAGGGAAGGAAGGAAGAAAGGGGAAGGAAGAGGGGAAGGAAGGAAGGGCTTTCCTGGGCTTTCCTGGTGGCCTCCCATCCCCACGACCTTCTGCTAATTCGCTACCCATGCAGAAGTGAGACCCCCCCGGAGGACTGGGACAGCGGCTGCAGCTTTTGGATGTCCCCTTTTTTCTGCCTGCCTGAGAGCGGGAGGGGAGCAAGGGTCCGGCTCGGAGGCCGGAGGGACACCTATGCAGTCCCTGCACCTGGGGGGGAGATGAATCGCCAGGAGGAGGGGGACCCTGGGAGGTCATGGGGACTCCCCTCCTTGGCTGACCTGGTTGGGCAGGGATGTGGCTCAACGGGTGGGATTCTGCCCCTCCACTTGCCCCGCCACCTCCCCCCCCAAAAAAAATACTTGAATTGGTTAGATGAATCCAGGTACTGCTCAGCTTACAACATTTCATTTAGCGACCGTTTGTAGTTGCAAGGAAAAAATGACTGGAGGCCGTTTGTCACACTTAACAACCATCACAACCTCCCCCGTGATCGTGTGATCAAAATTTAGGCGCTCGGTAACCGACTCGTACCTACGACGGCCGCAGTTGCAGCAAAATCAACGGGGGAGCCCAATTCCCTTAACAACTGGGTCGGCTCCCTTAAACCACGGTCGCGATTCCCTTAACGGTGGCGTGAAAGGTCGTAAAGTGGGCAAAGCTCGCTTAACAAAACGCTTCATTCAGCCACCCTGAATCTTGGGCCCGTCGTAGCTCGAGGGCTGCCTGTAGTATGAGCAAGGGATACTATCTGTGCCTATTTTAATTTGGATTATTCTCATCGCATATCGCAAGGCTGATGTATAGGCCGTTCTGTAATTCCTATAACCGTGTTGGCAAACCTATGCCATGCATGCTGGAAGTGGCACACGGAGCCATTTCCCCCGGCACGCGAGTGGTCGCCCTGGAGAGCCCCACTGTGCATGTGCGTGCACCGCCGCCCAACAGCTGTTGGGTATCTGGCGCGCATGTGCAGGCAGCGGAGGGGGTGCGCGGGAGACTTGCGCGCATACACAGATGCACTATGCTTGTGGAGGGCCCAACACACATTGCCTTCTGGGTGCTGGCATGCGAACGCACGCCATGGGAGCTGAAAAAGGTTCCCCACTACTGTCCTATAACAATCTGAATCCTCAAAGCCTAAATCTCCCATAACAACCAGGTGATGTGACGTACATTTCAAAGGTGCTTGTAATTGTTTAAAGAATGGTTGTTGCTCCTGGGGAGGAAAACTGGCTGTTCTAGGCTTCGTCAATTGTAATTATTCACAAACTTGTTTTAAAAGCAAAACCTATTTTATTGCAACGCTGGGAATTATTTCCATTCCCAGCCAGAATTAATCTCAAACAGTCCCCTGAGATAAGCACCCAACTTTCAGTTCTGTGGAATGCTGCTAAAAACAGAAGTTTCCAATGAACTGGAAAAGAAACCAACCAAAGTAAACAGAGCTTCACAAAGGACTCGGAACCGATCGAACTACTTTGCTTCCTGCACAGGTTTCGTCATCTTGGCCTGACTTTTAACCCTTATGGGAGGGACAATCACCTCCCAGCCTTACTCCTGAGTCACCCCTTTTGTCTCAGCTGTTCTCGCCTTCTAGCAGCTCTGCGCACACACGCACTGGGAACAGGCTCCCTTGGTTCCTCTACCTCGCTGCTGCCAGACTGGAGGCTCCAGAGGCAGCACCCCACTCCCAGATGGTCCCGGTCCCATCTCTGCATTGGATGCAGAACCCTCGTCCAAGTCCTCTCCAGATTCCCTGACTGGTCCCCTTTCTTTCCCACTGTCTGATTCCTCTACCATCTGCACCGGCTGCCAGTGGCAAATCTAGACTGCATACTAAAAAGCAGAGGCATCACCCTACCAACACAAGTGTGTAGCGTCAAGGCTATGGTTTTCCCAGTTGCAATGTATGGCTGGGAAAGTTGGACCATAAGGAAGGCTGAGCGCCAAAGAATGGAGGTTCTTTGAACTCATGTGCTGGAAGAGGAGATCCTGTGAGTCCCTTGGACTGCAAGGCCATCCAACTGGTCAGTCCTAGAGGAGATCAACCTGGACTGCTCTTGAGAAGGCCAGATCCTGAAGATGAAACTCAAAGACTTTGGCCACCTCATGAGAAGGAAGGAAGGACTCCCTGGAGAAGAGCCGAATGCTGGGAACGATGGAGGACAAAAGAAGAAGGGAATGGCAGAGACTGAGGTGCCTGAAGCAGTCAGCGTGAGCTTAAATAGACTCCAGAAGACGGTAGAGGACAGGAAGACCTGAAGGAACGTTGTCCATGGAGTCGCGATGGGTCGGGCACGACTACAACAACAAATTTAATGAAAAGAAGGATTAGAGGTGACATGATAACAGTCTTCCAATATTTGAGTGGCTGCCCCAAAGAAGAGGGAGTCAAACTATTTTCAAGAGCAGGGGGTTGGACTAGAAGACCTCCAAGGTCCCTTCCAACTCTTGTTATTCTGTGAAGCCTAACAAAGAAGAACAAGGCTAGGCATTTTATTGCATATCCAAATGCACCTTTTGTCTCTGTAATACAAAAGTTGGCATAACATTCGGGGGAACAAGGGGAACAGATCAGGGATGGGATTCAAAGATCAGTCAACCGGTCGCTGGGTGGGCATAGCCGTGGTGTGTGCTTTTTGCCTTCCCCACAGTCCGGAGGCTTCCCTTGGGCCTTTGGGAGCGTGAAAACGGCCTCACCCAGGACTCAGAGGCCCTCCGGAAGCCGGAAACAGGCCCGTTTCCGGACTTCTGGAAGGCCCATTTTTCGCCCTCCCAGCCTCTACGCGGATGCTGCACTTACTTGCATTCAAAAAGGGCTGTGTGGAGACACGGGAAGGGAGGGGAGGGGTGGGTGGGGCCAGCCAGTCGGTTCAACTACCGGTTCAGCAAACCAGATGTAAATTGAACAACCGGTTCATTCGAACCAGTCTGAACCGGCTGAACCCAACCCCTGAAACAGATGCGAGAGATGGGGAACAGACAAGCAAGAGAGGTAGGAGCCTCCGATGGATTTGGGTGGCGGGGCAGGCAGGAATTCTGGGGTGTCTAGATGACCTGAATGGCTAGGGGGCAGGGGGCAGGTTCTGGGTCTTCTCTTGGAGCTCCAGAGTTGGATTTGAGGGCCGTTCTCTCTCTCTCTGCCAGACTGTTTGCTCCTGCTGGTGTACAAGGAAAGGTCTGAATGTCTCCGAGGGCTGAAGGAGCGGAGCAGCGTGACCTTGGAGGACATCTGTGGCTTGGACCCCGGGCTTTGTTACGAGGGGCTGACCCACACCCTGGGCATTATCTGCCTCACCCAGGTGGTGATGCTGGGCTTTGAGAACAAGGAAACCATGCACACCTGGGATGCGCACATCCGCTACAGTTTAGGAGAAGGTAAGTTAATGGGAAGGAAGAAAGGAAGGAAGGAAGGAAGGAAGGAAGGAAGGAAGGAAGGAAGGAAGGAAGGGAGCAATAGCAGTAACACATAGACTTATACACCGCTTCACAGTGCTTAACAGCCTTCTCTAAGCGGTTTACAGAGTCAGCCACTTGCCCTCAACAATCTGGGTCCCTATTTTACCACCCTCGGAAGTATGGAAGGCGGAATCAACCTTGAGCCAGTCAGGATCAAACTGCTGGCAATCGGCAGAGTTAGCCTGCAATACTGCATTCTAACCATTGGGAGGGAGGGAGAAAGGAAGGCTGAGTCAATCTTGAGCTGGTCAGGATTGAACTGCTGGCAATCGGCAGAATTAGCCTGCAATATCGCATTCTAACACTAGGGAGAGAGGGAGGAAGGCTGAGTCCACCTTGAGCTGGTCAGGATCGAACTGCTGGCAGTCAGCAGAGTTGGCCTGCAATACTGCATTCTAGCCACTAGGGAGGGAGGAAGGAAGGAGGGCAGGCTTAGTCAACCTTCAGCCAGTCAGGATCGAACTTCCTGGCTGTGGGCAGAGTTTACCTGCGATACCGCATTCTAACCCCTGTGCCAACAGAGCTCCTAAAAAATTAAAAGAGTAGGCAAAAGTGGAGGAGGAGGAGGAGGATGGCAATTGCACTTAAACTTCCTTGAGCTGGTCTGGATCAAACTCCTGGCTGTGGCCAGTGTCAGCTTGCAATACCACATTCTAACCACTGCACCACCACAGCTCCCTACAGGTATCACAGAT